TCCCTCTCCCTCTCCCTCTCCCTCTCCCTCTCCCTCTCCTCTTCTCTTCTCTTCCCTTCTCTTCTCTGACTCTTTCCATCTCTGCTTTTCATCTGTCCATCTTGTCGGAAGTTTGACTTCTAAACTGCCTTCGAGTACACAGCCCTGCTTTTCAACAGCATCTCACAGCTTGATGCATTGCGCAAAGTCCCCTGTGTATTTTTTCAATGGTAGACGGATGTAGACAGTAGCATTTTCTTCTGCTTGTGGATTCCGAAAGCCATGCGAGAGAAGCTGGCCATGCTGAGGAGATTCAAAAATGCGTGGATGTTTGCAGGCAGAGGCATCTCCACAGATAGCCTTCAAATAAAACGAAGATACGAACTGGACGGATTCTGCTTTCCCCTGGAGTTTTTTCCGGAGCAACTCTTTCGTCATGAATTCCTTCCTCGTTATGAAGTTTTTCGCAGTAAATGTATGCAGCAGCAGAAATGGTCTGACTACCGTTTCAAGTCGCATTTGTTTTTGCCATGGTTGCACGACATGTTGGTAAAGAATGACCGCTTAAAGGATGCAGCCCGTGCACTGCTGGCAACTGATGATGTTGTGATTTGGTCGACAGATTGGTGTGTCAAACCAAGATCCTCACAACATCATTTCACATGGCATCAAGACTCCACTTACAGCAAATTCGGAGCTGACGGAACCACTCTCTGGTTGGCATTCTCACATGTACGAAGAACCAGTGGTCCGCTATTGTTTCGGAGGTCTTCTCATCTCCTTGGTCAACTGCAGCACATGGAGAGCGAGGATGAGTCGAACCTGTTGGCCTTTGGCCAGTACATTCCTGAATTCCCTGACCCGGAGCATAAACCAGCAGACTATGCACACTGCACTGATGGGTCAACCAATTGGACATCCATGGAAATTGTACCAGCGGAATTACAGCCGGGGCAAGCTTCTGCACACAACTTTTTGACCATACATAGTTCCGCTGCGAACTCAGACGATGCAGATAGAGTTGGCCTTGCGGTACGAATCGTTCGAGCATCCGCTGGAATTGGTCGCAATGACCGTGTGACCCACCTCTGCGGCAGTGCCAGTGCATTTGAAATAGAGGCTCCTCCGACCACTGAGTTTGGGAGCAGAGAGCTGCGGGAGTGGGAACTGTCTATGGAAAGAGAGAAGCAAATGTATTTTGCGGACCATGAGCGATCCAACTACAAGTAGTTCAAGGATATTCAAACAGTACTTCTCCAACCTTCTACAACTGGTGATGACTTCGGCCTTCGTTTACCATTGCCAAGCTGGAACACGTCGATAGATCTGTGAAGAAGAAAGAAGCAAGTGCATTGCCAAGGCAAAACAAAATGCAGAAACTTTAAAGACTCTTGTTGTTGATTGATGTGACAAGTTTGCGACGTCTTTCTCTCTTGATACCACTTTGTTTATCTTTCTTCAGGTATATTGTGTGGATGGGCGCATCCATCCTTTCGCAGTTGTCAAGCTTTGGCTCCATGCTCATCTCGTGAATGCCTCAGGCGGAGCTTTAGGTGTAGTGTGACATATGCTGACAAGTCAGTGAGAGTATGTTTGGATGGCTTAGCATGGCCCTGTATGGCCCTGTATGTTTGTCCAAGGAAGGCGGAGTATGATGAGCTTGGACCTGCAATTGTCCACAGCAAGTGCTTCTAATACAGAATTGCGACAAGCGTGTCTATAGTCTGCAAAGCGGTCTGAGAACAAGGTACAACATACTGCAGTTCCCAGAAGTTCCCAACCTTTCCCAGCATATTGCATATTGTTTGTGAAAGGTTTCAGTTTGACAACAGACCTTGCGACTCAACCACCGCAAATCATGAGACGGTGCTGTGCACTGAGCCCGCATGAACTTGTGCCATTTAGTGCCCATTCCATCGTCCGTGCCAATCTCTTCAACCGAAAAGAGAATAAAGCAACATCTGAACAAAAGCAGAATGTATGTTTTAGCAGCTGCGGCCGTATGGCGCAATGCTGAACATAGCTGTGATGCCTGTGTAGATGTTTGTTTTTGAAATGTTGGCCTGAAATTTCTGAAATTTCTGTTGGCCTGATTGATGGCAGCAAGATCCAGGAGGTTCAGATTGCTGATAGACTCAGGATGACTCAGGTATATAGGGGATAGGTGGGGGTAAAGACTTTTTCGGCAGGGTTTCGAGAGCTTCAAGAGAAAGGTTTGAGGATTTGCTTGGATGACACGAGTGATCAGAATGTTCTTCTTGCATGTTGATATGACTCCAGTAGTGTAGCTACCGTGCAGAATCGAACCGACTCAGCCAAGCTTGAAACAACTCTTTACTGAATCTGTGCAAGGAACTCGTGCCCTGATGCTTGCAAACTTGTGAAGAGTAGCGCAGCATATATGTAGGACTAGTGTGGCTACTTAAGTATATTATCAAAGGAAGTTTAGAAGTCTAAACTCCGTTATACCGACAGTGGAAATGTGACATCATCACATCACCACGTCACCACATCACCACATCATCCCATCACTACATTGACATGATTGACTGTGCTGTGCCAATGGGTTTGGTGATGGAGGGTCGCAGTTGGCATTGCAATGGCTGCCTGCATGTTGTTGATTGCCACTCTTGCTGACGCACGTCTAATGGGATTTGCAAGGCAGTGATTGCAGATCGCAGTGGAATGACTTCGTCCAGGTGACGCTTGAAGGTTAGGAATTGCATGAAACCCTACGTTTTCTCGGCATTGCGCGGGGATGTCCTCGGACGCGTCCTCCACCCTAAAGTTTACCCTAAAGTTGATTTTGAAGAAGGTCAATGAGATGAGTCAATGCGCTGTGCCATTGCCTTTGACCATCCAGGCTTGCAGTTTGCATTTTGGCGCTGATGATCTTCCTTTTAGAATTCATTTCAAAAGGTGCTTCAAAATTCGAAATGGGCTTTTTTCCGCTTTGGCGCCAAGATCCGGTTTTGGAGCTGCTAAGTGATCGGCCAGGCTATCGGTGTACACCGCTGAGGCCTTGGTGTATGACCCCGGCACTTTGACATGAGCATGACCCCCGCAGCATCTGGTATCCAAAAAGGTTGTGTCCAAGAGGTAACACAAAAACCTGAATTCCTTCCTATGAATTGACTGGAACATGCATGATGCAATCACGGCTTCTGAGAAACCTCGACTTCGCAAGGAGACCCAGGCATCAAGCCAGCACATCTTGCTGAGCCGGCGCTGCTCTGCACCACAGGGACGACGGCATCTCTTCCCTACTCTCAAGAGGCACAATGCTCGGAAGGCCAAAATGTTCCGTAGCAATGTCTTTGGTGATTTTCTGTCAAAACCGAGGGGATTGGCATAGGACCTAACTGCTGGGTGTGCCGCTGGTGAAAAGGACGTGCATGGTGCATGGGGCTATCAGGAACGACCGGAAACGACCTTCTTCTAACATATGGATAGTCCATTCAAGCAACCGCACCGACATCAAATCATCATGTGCACTCTCAGACAAGTCCAACACAGGGGCGACTGAAAATCCAAAACGTGCCAATGAATCACCAACCTTTCCAGCCCCTCCACAGATTTCAACAAAATCGAAATACATTAGGGGGGAATTTTTGAATGCCGGCAGGCGCAAGGAAGGGATTCTCGGCCTCCTGATCATCCTCAGTCTCACCAATCTGCCTCAGGATAGAATGAAAAGGATTGCGGAGGTGAGTGTAAGCACCCTTTCTGTCAGAGTCCAGCACCTTTTGAATTTCCTTTGGAACACGAGCCTCAATGATAGCCCCTTTTTGATTGGAGGCATCGGTTGCATGAATCTTTTCAAACCAATCAGCCGTGATGTTGGAGAACATCACGGGGCAACTGCGGCTAGGCTGACAAGTTCATGTGCTACCTTTCTTGTGAGCGGGAGCAAGTCTTCATGCGACGCAGTCAAGCAATCACTGGCCAGCCTGAACAGAACAGGTCGTCGATGATGCATGAAAAACACTTCCGGTACTGCAGCACTGAAACCCAGTTTCCTGCAATGCGGCTGAGGACCTTTCCATTGGTTGCTGGAAGGCGAGCGGCCCTCAATGAAATGACAGACAATGCCAGCCTCTTTGCAATGGGCGCCCCAACAGGCATATACCCCGGCCGAACATTCTCAGGACCAGACCTGACCTCTGCACCTGCTGCTTTGAAACCTCTCTCTGCTACCACATCTTTTTCGGGGGCCCAAGAAGATGCTCCCGGTCATAAATTTCTCTGGCGGATGCAAGGCTACGGAATGCAAAGCTCGTATCAGGATGACTCCCTACTGGCCCAGCGCTGACAGCAAAATAATCATCGATGACCAAAGCTTCCAGGCAGTCAGTCAGGTGCGTCCGGGGCAGAGCGGAAACTCATCCTGGGCAACACCACACACGGTGAAAGACTTCCTCAGGTGAGCAAACACTTTTGGCTGCTTTTCAGTATAGGGGTCCTCCTGAGCTCATCACAAGTTGGCCAGGGGGACAAATAAATACAAAAGTCCAAAACCCAAATCCACATGTTTACAACCGGCGTCAGACAAAGAGAAGTCCATCGGCGAAGTGACAAGCCAGGGCCGCTCGAGGCAAAACAATCCGAGGAAGCCAAGGGGAGCGGGAACACCGTGGAAGACGTCTCAGAGGAACGCCGCACGATGGCAAAAGAATGACGAAGACAACAGGCAAGCTTGGTGCGAGTCTTCAAAATCCACCGAGGCAAACAGGCCATCCATCTGCTCAGCGTCATAGAAAGTTGAAGTGGGTTTGACTCCAGCCCCACATTCAACTCAGACTTGCAACCTGCAGAAATTCCAGGAGAGGTTAGGCTCCCTCGTTTTCCGTCTTCGCTGAAAGACCTCCTGGACCTACCTTGCCTTTCTTTTTGGGCTGCAGCTTTGCTTTTGGGGCGTCCTCCCACTGAGACTTGCCGAAGGAGCCTTGCTTTGAGGTGCTGCCCATCTCGATCCTCTTTGCAGTGATTGTGTCGAGCTCCTTCAAGTAAGCTAAGGCCACAATTATCCATTTTTGGTCTGCTAGTACTGGGAAGGCCCGAGCTCGGGACAAGGTGCCCGGGGCCTTGTGCGTGAACACACTGGCTGGAAGCTCTTCCGCTAAGGTCAGAACATGGGCTAAGTCGAATCGCCCGTTGTCCATGCAAGGCTACTGACAAGAGGGCTGTTGCATCCCGAGCTGCATCCCATCTATCTGTTTGCAAGAAACCCATGGTGGAACAATCCAAGCCTGCTGTTGGGTCTGGCTGCGTGCACTGACCGTAGACCCCCCAGGCGTTTTAGCCGTAGAACCGGTAGATGGACTTTCCTTTTTGCTATGGTAATTCTTTGCGGTGCCGAACTGGGAAAAGCGATGCCAATAGCCCCCTCTTCTGCAGCAGACCTGAAGCAACAGACGCATGTGAAGAGGGACCAGTATTTGACTCGGTTCCGAACCTGGCTGTGGGAAGAAAAGGGGGTTTCTTTTAAGTTCCTGGTGGAGCAGAAGCCTGCTGATCCTGAGAGGGTGGCCAGCCTTTTGGTGGAGTATGGGAAGCAGCTGTACTACGCTGGAAAAGCCTATGGAATATACATAGAAACAATCAATGCGGTTGCAAGTTCGAGGCCCCTGGCGGTACGATCACAAACCAGCGATGCCGCTCTCAGTTGTTTCTGCAATGGCGGTGGTCGCGTCCACATGGGGCTGGCTGGCCCCACTTGGCAGCAGTGTTGATTGTCAGCTGGGCTGGGGTCACGAGGATTGGTGAGGTGCTCAGTGCCGCTATAGGAAGGAATTGGTGCTCCCGGTGGGTTGTGCGCCAGGGACCTCCTTCGCCTGGTGATGATACGCATGCCGAAGACACGGAGCTGGGCTGCAAACCACCAAGCAGCTCGTACTGACCAGATTGACATAGTGAATTTCTTGTCTGCGATGTATGCTGAAGCCCCCCAGGGGAACGCGGTTGCTGCGCAAGACCGAGAATGCCGAGGTTGTCAGACGTCGCGGCAGGTGGCTCAGCGTCAAGACGTTAGAGATTTACTTACAAGAGGTGCAAGTTTCAACATACCTTGAACGAGTCAAGCCTGATGCCAAAGTCCTCATCGAACTACGCTCGAGCGGGTTTGCACCCACACTGGATCGATGCATCGATTTTCTCCAGTGTGGGGTGCCTCCAAATACTTGGTACTATCTGTTCCGAGAGCAGAATTTCCTGAGCAGAGATTTGGAAGAATGGGGGTTGATGGAAAACGGCCAGCATCGACATCCGATGCATGGCAACAGAAGAACTTTCCGAATCACAGCAGCAAAACAAGAGGGCGCGTGTCCCAATACATATGCATGTATACGATTGTATACGCACATATTAGTTTTGTTGAAAGCAAACACCAGGTAGATGCCCGCAGCTTTGTAGATCACTTGCTAAATAGACCCTGCAGACAGCAAGACTACCCAAGCTATCTTGACTGCAAAGTAGAAGTGCAGCTTCTTTCTCAGGAACATGTCATCAGACTTACTTGCCAGCAAGAAACGTCAAAGTGTGTGTGGAAACATTTAGTGATAAAAAGTGGGGGATAGCACGCAGCAATCAAACCACTTTGATGTGCATTCGCCCAGAAACAGTGGAACTATGCAAGCCTTTGAGCCGCTGTGACATGACTAAAAGTAGGAAGAAGGGAATGCTCAGTGAGTGGGTTGGACGTGGCAATGAAAGGTTTGCAAGTGTCACAGATGTGTGCCTCTTGCAATTTGCCAATTGTCCATTGTATCTAAGCGCCACTCTCCTCAACGTTGAGGCTGCTGCCCAACACTCCTCTGTCAATACTTCCCTTTTTGGTCAGGAACTCAGTTCCCTATACCATTGTTGTGAGGTTTCAATCTTTGGGTTTGCGACTGGTGCATCACGGATGCAACACATTCAAACGGGAATGGAACCCTAAAACTCTGGAACCCTTATACACCGCTGTTGTATGGCAAAACTGTGTTAATTGTGCAAAGAAGTGGTGTCTGGATATTTTGTGTCGCTTCTCGTTTATCATTTCTTCCTAGATTCAAGAGTCTTTTAGCAACTGCGACCAGTTGATGATTGGGTTCACTGTCAGAACTATTGCAGTTGTTTGTTTAAGGCTCATGCAGATTCGTGCGCCTTTTCCATTACAAGCAAGGGGTGCAACACGGCTTTGTCAGAGGACCAGACAGGGCTTAGTGGCTGAGGGTTAATGAACATAACCAGCAAGCACATGCAAACACTTTTCAGATTGCAGGCAATCTTGTATGATTGAAAATACACCACAAACATCCAGTGATAGCGCGGGCAGTTGCTGGACCATCCAAAATTTCATTCTGGTAGCAAATTGTTTTCAGAAAATGAAGTTGAGCAAGAAGCAGCGGCAAGAAGTATTCGCAATGGCGAACTGCCAGGATAGAGTGTGGGAGGAAATGCTAGCCGGATCCTTGGACACTGAGAAATGACATCGTGCAGCACACGGCAGCGCAGTGCCTTGTTGTACCACTTTGTCGAGATATTGATGCCTTGTCGAATTTTATGCTGACTATCTTTGAGAGTTGTTCAAATTGTGGATAGATCGGATAGATCGGATAGATAGTGTCAAGGTGGAGCAATTTGGTTCTGTGATTCAATTCTACGCTGCCTTTGTGGCCTCCTTGCAAAGCAATCCACAGGCTTGGAGCCCAGCATCCAGCAAAGCCATTTTTTAAAGATGGCACCAGGATGCCAGATACGCCAGCGTGGGAGTCCAGCATGAGCAAGTCGTCAAGTCTGTTAAGTCGTCAAGTCTAACTGCATCTGACTGCTACCCTGGATGGAAGTCTGAGGCCCAGCTTGCAGAAAACATAGTCCCAGCCAGTGACTTATATACTCTGATCCAAACACTGCTTGCCATTCAAGTCATTATGTCCCTTATGAGATGGGTTTTAAACCAGGGTCACCAGAGGTTCGAGTTGCAGAATAGTCGTGTTCGACCTTCGACAACCACCAACGCAATCGTTTTTGTACAGCATTTGTGGTTTCACCACACCAGACGACAAACATTTATGAGGCTATAGGCTATGAGGATCTCAAGGGAAGCTATATCAGTATACATAGACAGCATCAAATTCTGCAGCTGTTAGTGGTCAGTGGTTGCTAAAGTGTGGTTTGTGTTTGATCTTGAGCTGTTGGTGAGCTGTGTCAAACTGCTCAAACTAATTGGTGTTTCAGGTTGATCGAGACAAGCTCTTGCAGCTGCTTGACGGGCTCCCCAAAGATTGCGCTCGACAGGCTTGATAGGTTGGAGTAACTTGCAATGATTGACCTGTAACTACCAGGACTGCAGTGCATAGACGACCGTGTCGTTTTGTGAGATTCAATGTACTTCGTCACTGTGTCAAGTGCGCCGCTACATTGGTTTTCACATGGAGCCAAGTTTTGGTGTTTTGAAAGTGGTTGTTACAGGCAAAAGTTGAAAACATGTATTTATACTTTTACCACAACGAGGAGTTGATTTTGATGGTTCTTGGATTTGACGAAACTAATTTGGGTCAGCATCATTTTTTCGCCATGGCAGTGGTCACAGCAATTCTTCCAGCTTTGTCAGAAATTTCCATGGTTTAGTTGTTCCGAGACTTTGTCTCCAACACCACATGTATATGTAGTCAGGAACACTTGGGTGCATCTTAGCGTGCCCTTTCTTTTTGCGCTTCATGCGCATGTGCTTCGGCAAAAATTCTCTGCAAGAGAAGATTCTATGACGTAGCATCCAGTGTTCGTGCGAGTGCAAGAGAAAGAACCCTTTGACGTAGCATCCAGTGTGTGTAAAAGTGCAAGAGAAGATCCTATGACGTACTGTAGCGTAGCACCTGGTTGAGCCCGCAAGGCAACTGATGTCATTGCACCACCCCCACCCCAACCAATCCATATGAAGATGTGGTGAGGTAGCATGACGCATCTGTGGAACTGCAAGGGAACCATCCGCGTGAGAACCCAAGGCAACTGACGTTCATGCCCACCCCACCCCACCCACCCCACCCCAAAAATGAGAAACAACTACAAAAAGACACGGCCGTGCACTCACCGCAGGCCAACTACCAATACTTTAGAACCTGTATCTACTTCTCTGTACATGCGAGCAACCTACACTAGCATTGCCTTTTCCCTTTTCAAATTGCCTTCCAGCCTGTCCAGCTTTGCGGTGCAGGTCTACATGAGGGTTGCATTGACCACTTGCAAGCCTTTTGTTTTGCAACCGCGAGCTCGCCAGAACCTCAGATTCAACCTGTGGCAATGCCTTCCTGAGAGAAGTGCAGCCGCGTGGGCATGTTCACAACGTGGGCTTTGATTCTCCCTGCTCCCGATGTTGACAGCGATCCACATCCGTGTCTTCGCAATGTTTCAGCGGTCCCAAATATTCAACTTGAAGTAACTTGTAACAAGAAAAAAGAAAATTGGCAAATGCGAATCGCACATGCGAATCTTGATGATTGTCGGATTTGCTTGGCAGGCTTCTGACAGCATTCATGCTCTTGCCATGAAACAAAAACTGCAGATGGATTCCACCCATGTTGTTTGAAGTTTTTCCCCAAGATAGCGAAGCTAGTGGGGTTCTTACTTCAAGTATAGGATGAATTGGATATATGCATTTTCGGACGGGCATGTTCGTGCCGCTGGAGGGTGCCGCTGGAGGGTGCCGCTGGGGGGTGCCGCTGGAGGGTGCTGCTAGAGAGGTGTGTGCCTTTGGAGCTGGCCTCCGGGTGCTGCCGCTGCAGGGCGCTGCTGTTAGAGTGGCGTATGCTTTTCGAGGTGCTGCTTGAGGGTACTCCTGTTAGAGTGGTGTGCGCTTTGGAGCTGGCCTGTTGCGGCTGCAGGGTGCTGCTTCAGGGTGCTGCTGTTAGTGTGGTGTGTGCGCTTTGGAGGTGGCTTGCTGTTGCTGCTGCAGGGTGCCACTGCAGGGTGTTGCTTCAGGGTGCTGCTGTTAAAGTGTCGTGTGCGCTTTGGACCTGGCCTGCTGGTGGTGCCGCTGCAGGGTGCTGCTTCAGGGTGCTGCTTCAGGGTGCTATCAGAACGGCGTGTGCGCTTTGGAGCTGCCTGCTGGTGCCTGTGCGGGTGCTGCTGCAGGGTGCTGCTTCACCGTGGTGCTCAGAATGGCGTGTGCGCTTTGGAGCCGGTGGAACGTAACTACATACGTATATACATATATACATACATTACAGTACAGTACACTACAGTACAGTACAGTACATTACATACATTACATAGATTACATACATCACATACATTACATAGATTGCATAGATTACATTGACTACATACATCACATAGATTACATAGATCGCATAGATTACATAGATTACATAGATTACACAGATTACATAGACTACATAGATTACATAGATTACATAGATAACATAGATTACATAGATTACATAGATTTTTGAGCTGAAGCCCATCTTTGGCTCCGCCGGACTACTCGGTCTTCCATTTCATGGCAGTGTGGGCTTGAAAGCTATTGAATGAGGACTTCAGAAATATATTCCTGAGGTTTTTTGGAACAGATTTGTTGGAAATAGACGTTCTTTTTGAGAGCAAGTGAGTTCCCGAAAGCTCCTGCGAAAGGTTTTCCCTAAAGGACTGCTGCCAGTTTCAACTTGTTACTTCGTGTAAAGGCGGTGCCAAGACCTCTCTGTGTAAAAGCTTTTGTGTGTAAAAGTTTCCGTGCGTAAAAGTTTCTCTGTGTAAAGACTTCTTTGTGTAAAAGCTTCTCTGTGTGAAAGCGCGTCTGTGTAAAGATTTCTCTGTGTGTAAAAGCTTCCATGTGTAAACACTCTCTGTGTAAAGGCTTCTCTGTGTAAAAGTTTCTGTGTGCAAACGCGTCTGTGTGTTAAAGCTGTAAAGACTTTTTTGTGCAACAGATTTTGTGTGTAAAAGCTCCAAGACGTTTGTGTGCAAAAGCTCCTTAGAGGAAAGACTTCTCTGTGTAAAACCTTCTGTGTGTAAAAAAACTCCTCTGTGTAAAGGCTTCTCTGTGTAAAAGCCCCTGTGTGTGTAAAACCTTGCTGTGTGTAAACGTTTTTGTGTGTAAACGCTCCTGTGTGTAAAGGCTTCTCTGTGTAAAGGCTTCTGTGTGCAAACGCGTCTGTGTGTAAAAAACCCTCTGTGTAAAGGCTTCTTCGTGTAAAAACTTCTGTGTGTAAAAGCTCCTAGACATTTGTCTGCAAAAGCTCCTTTGAGTAAAGGCTTCTCTGTGTAAAACCTTCTGTATGTAAAAATCTCCTTTGTGTAAAGACTTCTCTGTGTAAAAGCCCCTGTGTGTGTAAAAGCTTCTGTGCGTCTCCTCCCTCGAGCTTTCTTTCGGGTCACGCTGTCGTCCAGTTTCAATCTGCAACGTTGTTTCTTGTGGAAGAATGCAAAGAACATGTGAAAGCATCGCGCGTTTAAAAAATTGAACATAAACAGCGCGCAAAGTGCTGTAATTTACACATTTTGGGCTGTCAGATGGCAAGAACCCGCGTAAATACCACAGTTTTAGTCCCCGAAAGTGGCTAAAACACCGTTATTTACAGGGTTTCGTTCACGTCACTATCTTCGAGTTTTTGAAAAACGTGTAAATACCAGCGTGTTATGCGTTCATCAAGACAAAAAAAGCGGTTCAAAAAGAGCAGAAAATGTTGTAATTTACAGGGGTCTGGTACCGTCACGGGCAAAAAACTGCATAAATACCAGCGTCTCAGCGTCCAAAAGTTGCCAAAACACCGCTATTTACAGTGTCTCGTGCCTGCCACATTTTCGTGAAAGTGCAAAAACCTTGTAAATACCAGCATTTTTTGCGATCAACCTAGCAAAAATGGTGTAAGTTACAGAGGGGTGTTTTGCTTTGCTTTCAAAAACGGTGATATTTGCAGTGTTTTGTGCATTTCTAGTCTAAAAAGTATTGATATTTACAGCATTTGCTGCGTTTTTGCATTGCTCCGGCAAAAGAAGTTAAACCGCAAAAATGCTGTAATTTACAGCATTTTGTCAATTTCGAAAAGCGAAAAATCGTCCCAAAAATGTGTCAAAACGACACTTTTTTCCGAGTTAGGTACCCTCAAAACAATGCTCTTGGAGACGCTTCTGAGCGACCCGGATTTTGTCCAAAAAGCTTTCCTTCAGCAGAGCGAAGGATTTGTGAGCTGACGCTCATCGTCAGCTCTGCCGGATTAGTCGACCCTCCATTTCATCGCAGTGTGGGCTTGAAAGCTATTGAATGAGGACCTGCTTCAGAAATATATTCCTGAGGTGTTTTGGAGCATATTTGCTGGAAATAGACGGTTTTTTTGGGAGCAAGTGAGTTCCCGAAAGCTCCTGCGAAGGGTTTTTCCCTAAAGAACTGCTGCCAATTTCAACTTGTTACTGCGTGTAAAGGCGCCTCTGTGCAAAGACCTCTCTGTGTAAAAGCTTTTGTGTGCAAAAGTTTCCGTGTGTAAGAGTTTCTCTGTGTAAAGACTTCTTTGTGTACAAGCTTCCTTCTGTGTGTGAAAGCTTGTCTGTGTGAAAGCGCGTCTGTGTAAAGATTTCTCTGTGTGTAAAAGCTTCCATGTGTAAACACTCTCTGTGTAAAGGCTTCTCTGTGTAAAAGTTTCTGTGTGCAAACGCGTCTGTGTGTTAAAGCTGTAAAGACTTCTTTGTGCAACAGATTTTGTGTGTAAAAGCTCCAAGACGTTTGTGTGCAAAAGCTCCTTAGAGGAAAGACTTCTCTGTGTAAAACCTTCTGTGTGTAAAAAAACTCCTCTGTGTAAAGGCTTCTCTGTGTAAAAGCCCCTGTGTGTGTAAAACCTTGCTGTGTGTAAACGCTTTTGTGTGTAAACGCTCCTGTGTGTAAAGGCTTCTCTGTGTAAAGGCTTCTGTGTGCAAACGCGTCTGTGTGTAAAAAACCCTCTGTGTAAAGGCTTCTTCGTGTAAAAACTTCTGTGTGTAAAAGCTCCTAGACATTTGTCTGCAAAAGCTCCTTTGAGTAAAGGCTTCTCTGTGTAAAACCTTCTGTATGTAAAAATCTCCTTTGTGTAAAGACTTCTCTGTGTAAAAGCCCCTGTGTGTGTAAAAGCTTCTGTGCGTCTCCTCCCTCCAGCTTTCTTTCGGGTCACGCTGGCGTCCAGTTTCAATCTGCAACGTTGTTTCTTGTGGAAGAATGCAAAGAACATGTGAAAGCATCGCGCGTTTAAAAATTGAACATTGACAGCGCGCAAAGTGCAGTAATTTACAGATGGTCATTGGAGCATGGAGTAGTAAGAAGAAATGTGGGTACATGGGTTATAGGACCCCCGCTGCAAACCCTGCCAAGGCCAAGGCAAGGACACCACTGCGTTCATCCCCCGCGACCAGTGATGGTAGCTTCACTGAGGTGTCAAGTGTCAAGTCATGCATCGCCTTCACGTGTGCCCAGGATGCCTGCTTTCCGTGCCAGGAGGGAAGATCCCATGGGTGACGCGTCATTGCCCCCTGGAAGCGACCACATTTTCACGTTTGGGCAGCATAGGGGTTACACGTATCATGAGGTGTTGCACCAATACCCTGGGTAAATGAACTTGGTACGTCAAGGATCTTGAACGAGTTCTTGGATTGGGTTGACATGTACTTTGATGTTGATCATGGAACCCAGCAGGTCACGCCCAAGTCAGTCCCTGAGGATGTGCAGCCAAGACCTGCCCCGGTGCCAGGATCGAGACACAAAACTGCCATGAAGAAGCCTCCCAATCCCCCTCTTGAGATTTCTGGGGTCATGTTTGCAAGGATTTCAGCTTGCTAGGATCCAATGCATACGTCATGCGCAAGACATGCAGGGATTGTGGATGGCAAGAACCCGCGTAAAAAACACAGTTTTAGTCCCCGAAAGTGGCTAAAACACCGTTATTTACAGGGTTTCGTTCACGTCACTATCTTCGAGTTTTTGAAAAACGCGTAAATACCAGCGTGTTATGCGTTCATCAAGACGAAAAAAGCGGTTCAAAAAGAGCAGAAAATGTTGTAATTTACAGGGGTCTGGTACCGTCACGGGCAAAAAACTGCATAAATACCAGCGTTTCAGCGTCCAAAAGTTGCCGAAACACTGCTATTTACACTGTCTCGTGCCTGCCACATTTTCGTGAAAGTGTAAAAACCCTGTAAATACCAGCATTTTTTGCGATCAACCTAGCAAAAATGTTGTAATTTACAGAAGTTTTTTGCTTTGCTTTCAAAAACGGTGGTATTTGCAGTGTTTTGTGCATTTCTAGTCCAAAAAGTATTGTTATTTACAGCATTTTCTGCGTTTTTGCATTGCTCCCGCAAAAGAAGTTAAACCGCAAAAATGCTGTAATTTACAGCATTTTGTCAATTTCGAAAAGCGAAAAATCGTCCCAAAAATGTGTCAAAACGACACTTTTTTCCGAGTTTAGGTACCCTCAAAACAGAGGGGGGCGGGGGAATGCTCTTGGAGACGCTTCTGAGCGACCCGGATTCCGTCCAAAAAGCTTTCCCCCAGCAGAGTGAAGGATTTTTGGTGTTTTTCGGGGCCGGCGTTGGCGTTTTTTTTTTTATTGTTGTTGTTGTTGTTGCTGTTGCTGTTGCTGTTGCTGTTGTTGTTTTTGTTGTTGTTGTTGTTGTTGTTGTTGATGTTGTTGATGTTGTTGTTGTTGTTGTTGTTGTTGCGTTGCTGTTGCTGTTGTTGTTGTGGTTGTTGGTTGTTGGTTGTCGGTTGTCGGTTGTCGGTTGTCGGTTGTCGGTTGTCGGTTGTCGGTTGTCGGTTGTTGGTTGTTGTTTGTTGGTTGTTCGTTGTTTGCTGTTTGTTGTTTGTTGTGGCTGTCCTTGTCGTTGTCGTTGTTGTGTAGTGTGGTGCGGTTGAACGTCCAAAAATGGTCCGAACATGGGGTGTTTTGCCATTTTAACTTCGACATGTGCTTCGCGCCACAACAGTGTGCACTTTTTCCACATCTGAACCTCCAAAAGTGATCCCAGCATGTTGTGTTTTTACCATTTTGACTTCGAAATGTGCTTCGTGCCACAACAGCGTGCGCTTTTTCAACATCGCAACTTCTAAAAGTGCTCCGATCATGGTGTGTTTTGTACTCTTCACTTTGACATGTGCTTCGCGCCGCAGCCGCGTGCACTTTTTTCGACATCTCAATTCCCAAAAGTGTTCCGTAGCTGAAACGTTTTGTAAAATTTGACTTGGAAACGTGCTTCGCGCCACAAAGGCGTGCCCTTTTTCAACATCTCAACTTCCAAAAGTGCTGCGACCTTGAAGTGTTTTGTGCATTTTGACTTCGAAGTGTGTTTCGCACCACAACGGCGTGCAATTTTTCATCTCATCTCTCATCTCCCCAGATGGCTCCGCGCCCGCCGCTTTAGCGAGCCTACTTTTCAATCGCCCGGAGCTACAAATCATTGGAAAAACATGAAAAACAGAGTGTTTCGCGACTTTTCTGCCTTTCCTTTCGTGCGCCTGCATCTTCTTTCTTCTGGCTCTTTCTCTTCTCTGATCTTCTTTCTTCTGCTTTTCTCTTCTCTGACTCTTCCCGCCTCTGCTTTTCATCTGTCCATATTGTCGGAAGTTTGGCTTCTAAACTTTCTTTGAGTTATCGATTGCCAAGCCCCTGGCTGGCTTAAAACGTTTGGCCAGGTTTTGGTGCTTGGGGGGGGGTGGTGCACGACTGGTGCAAACCTGGGTCTGGCCGTTTTTTGTGCATCGACTAGCCGGTGCCCGGAACAAGAAAATTTGGTGTTGGAAAACACCTTTTTTGGTGTCAAATTTCAATTTTTTTGTGAAAAGTTGGTGCTGAAAATCAATTTTTTGGGGTTCAGAATGCATTTTTTGGGGTTCGGAAACTTTGATGAAACTTCTTGAGGGTTTCCATGAAGTTGCCAGGGAAGCATGGAGGTGGTGAAGTCAACGATGTGTGTGTTTTTATTTCCCCCCCTTGCACCAAAACTGGCCAAACTTTTAAAGCCAATCAGGGGATATCTAAACAGATTATTGTTTTTCAGACCGTCTTAGGCTTCGTGTTATCATCAATATTCACATGACAACTTTACACACAGGCTCAAGGACGAAAAAATGATAGGCACCGTGTAAGTGCCCTCTGCCGTGTTTGACATGGCTTTGAGTGGGCTTTACCAACATGGCAATGCATTTCCACTTTTCGAAAAATAAAAAACCATCCCAATGCTCACCAAAGGCGTCACATAGCGGTAAAAATCACCAGAAATCATTCCACCCTTCAAAATCCCTCCAAACCCCTCCAAATCTTTCCAAACCCTCCAAATCCCCAAAAATCTTCCCCCATCTTTCCAAATCACCAAAAATCACCAGAAACTTTCCCAAAACCCAAACCCCCGCCCCAGCCACCCCAAAACCACCCCCCGAACCCACCCGAACACCCCCAAACTGGCCCCCACCCGCCCCAAACCCACCAAAACACTTCCCAAATCCTAAGAAATAATCCAATTCGGCAAATTTCGGGCCAAAATCTGACACCGCTTTCGGCAAATTTCAGCACCGCTTTCGGCAAATTCGGAACCAGTCGGGAACCAGTCGGGAACCAGTCGGGAACCAGTCGGGAAAATCCGTGCACCGCCCCAGAAGGCACAAAAATGCTGGTTTTTGCAGGGATTTGGCACTTTTTTGGTCGATTTTTGGCAAAAACCCTGCAAAAAGTGCCAAATTCGACCAAAAAAGTGCCAAATCCCTGCAAAAACAAGCATTTTTGTGCCTTTTGGGGCGGTGCACAGATTTTCCCGACTGGTTCCCGACTGGTTCCCGACTGGTTCCCGACTGGTTCCGAATTTGCCGAAAGCGGTGTCAGATTTCAATTTTTTGGGTGTCAAAAAAACGCGCTGTTTCGGGCTGAAACCGGCTGAAACCAGACCAAACCCTTCCCAATCTCTAGGCTTTTTGGTAATTTTCCCGTTGGATTGACACTTCGAAAGGGGTTAAAAAGCGCGCCCTTTTTGCGCCCAAAAAGGATCCCAAAAACAGAGAAAAAGGGCGCGACCTAAAATCCCAAACCAAACAGAAAATTACCTGCGCTCTCATCTGTTGAAGATTCCGCTTCCGAGAGCGCGGATTCTGATGATAGTTCTGTGCCATTGAGTCAACAGATTTTGTTGGGCCAGTTGGGTCACAGGTTTTGTTTCCAATTTCAAGCTTCCGAAAGCCCGGCAGTTTCACTTGACAGTTTCACGGTTTCACAGCATCTTCTGGATCCGGGTAGAATGTGGTCATGTTGGGCCAGAGCGAAAGGGTTGCGGCTGTGTTCCCACAGGGGGGTGTTCCTTGTTGTAAACTGTTAAAATATTATAAAATATTGTAGTTCAAGTTGTAGCAATAGAACATTGCAGTAGATAATGGTGGCTGCAATTTGGTTCCTCCTGAGCATTGACTTCCCATATGTTGGGACTGGTTGGTTGGTTTTTGACATCCTCCACCCCCCCAGAATTTTGACACCAAACTTAGCCGTTTTTAACACCACAAAAGGGATTATCAAACACCAGGCCCAAACACCAATTTTTTGATTTTGAACACCACATTTTTCCCACATTTTTTTTTTCCAGCACCACTTTTTCATTTTCCAGCACCTTCCGTGCACCGCCCCCCCCCCCCCCAGAGCCCACGTTTTAAGCCAGCTACGGGCTGGCCGAGTTATCGACATTTATATATTCCACTTGCACTTATTTATTGTGTTGCACTGGAATGGAGCTGTGTACCCGGTTTCAAATGTACGCTTGTGGGCCCTGAGGCTTGGTGCTCGAGATTCATGAGCTCAGCGATTGGAATAAGTGTGGAGCAGAGCGGATCAAAACATGTACTTCTGAAAATTTGATGGATATTCATACAGTTGCTGTCATGTTGTATAATCAAGGCATCACAAAAGACTTCTGCTCCTGCGGCAGGCAAGATCCAGTTGCTTTATTTTGAATTTGCATGGTCATCAATGTAGTCAACATCACATGTGTGTTTCTTTTGCAGGCAGAGCGAATTTCATTGGCCCTTTCAAACCGTGTTGCAACAGACAGGCCTAGGCCTTTTCCGTGAAGCAACTTCCCACCTTGACTGAGTGCTCTTTTTCGTGCGCCTAAGGTTGAGAGAAATCATCAAATCAACAAACTTGGAGCTACTGGCCCTTGAGGCGCAAAGGGGGGTTTGCAAACATTTGCAAAACTAATCAAAACACATATTATTAAATTATAATTAATATAATATTTTGCAAAATATTTAACTGCCTACGGCAAGCCCGACGGCCATAGCCACTTTAACCGTAAAAGCTTCTGTGTGTCTGTAAAAGCTTCTGTGTGTAAAAGCGTCTGTGTGTAAAAGGTTCTGTGTGTAACAGAGTCTGTGAGTAAAAGCTTCTGTGTGCAAAAGCGTCTGTGTGAAAAAGCTTCTTTGTGTAAAAGCTTCTTTGTGTAAAAGCTTCTGCGCGTAAAAGCGTCTGCGTTTAAAAACTTCTGTGTGTAAAAGCTTCTGTGTGTAAAAGCTTCTGTGTGTAAAAGCCTCTGTGTGGAAAAGGTTCTGTATGTAAAAGCTTCTGTGTGTAAAAGCTTCTGTGTGTAAAAGCTTCTGTGTGTAAAAGCTTTTGTGTGTAAAAGCTTCCGTGTGCAAGAGCTTCTGTGTGCAAACGCTTCTGTGTGTAAAAGTGTTTGTGTGTAAGAGCTTCTGTGTGTAAAAGGTTCTGTGTGTAAAAGCATCTGTTTGTAAAAGCTTCTGTGTGTAGAAGCTTCTGCGTGTAAAATCTTTTGAGTGTAAAAGCTTCTGTGTGTAAAAGCTTCTGTGTGTAAAAGCTTCCGTGTGTAAAAGCTTTTGTGTGAAAAAACTTTTGTGTGTAAAAGCTTCTGTGTGCAAAAGCTTCTGTGTGTAAAAAACACCAAAAATCCTTCACTCTGCTGGGGGAGATCTTTTTGGACTGAATCCGGGAAAGCCTCTGTGTGTAAAAGTGTCTGTGTGTAAAAGCTTTTGCGTGTAAAAACTTCCGGCTTCTGTGTGTAAAAGCTTCTGATGAGTCGAAGCCGGAGCAGGCGTAGGAGTCAGAGTAGGAGTGGTAGTAGTGGTGGTGGTGGTGGTAGTAGTGGTAGAGGTTGAGGTAGAGGTTAGTAGTAGTAGTAGTAGTAGTCGTAGTGGTAGTAGTGGTAGTAGTGGTAGTAGTGGTAGTAGTAGTAGTAGTAGTGGAAGGGGGAGGGGGGGGTGACTTTGATTCAGACGAAGCAAAAACGCGAACAGAAAACAAAAACAGAAAGAAGAACAACACCTTCCAATCAGACACGCCGGCAGGCCAGCGGATTCGCCAAATTATTTGAGTTTGTGAAGAGTGTGACGAGGATGCATTTCTTGCTCTCAGGCTGTTGCTGCTGGTGAAGGCGGGGGAGACTTCTCCTTTGTTTCCTTGACTTCCAACGGAAACCGTTAAGAAAAACGTAATCAGCCTGCGATTGCCAAAATTTGGTTTCAATTTATTGCAATTCGGCAGAAGGTTGGAATGTATTCAGCTGTGAATACATCTACGCAGATCCCGCAGGGTATGCATGTTTGGATCACGTAGGCAAACTGTTAAGACCCCCGGAACTCCAAGAAGGCATTGCAGTGGCCTTAGATGTGTTACAGGCAGAAACGTGCTGTGTCTTGTTCTCAAACACACTTGAGAACATTGAGCCGGGTAAGGAGCGGGTAAGGAGGCCAACCATACTGTCAAATCATTTCACGTGAGTCACGTGGAGGAATTGGTCATCTTACGCAACGGCTTCAAAATTCAAGAGTTGGTCGCAGAAAAACATGCCCCTTTGCCATGCCTGTACTCTCGTCACGATTTGTTTCTGGACATGGCTGTTTTCTTTGAGTCCCGACACAAGAAAACAGATGACCCAGCAGGAGAGGAAAATCGTTTGATGTGCCAAAATGTGTAGTGTATATAGACATAGACTCATTTTCATTAAGTCCTTGGTTGTTGTGAGGCCTGGAATGCGGAGATGGAGATGTCTTTGGTCAAGGAGCTACTTTGGAGCAGACATGATGGCAGAAGGGAGCAGGAAAAACTGAACAGCAAAGTGCTAAGAGCTGCTACTTTGGTACTTTGGTACCCTAAAATGATGGGCAAAGGTGCAACTTCATTTGCCCGCACAGACAACTACTTGCGGAGAGGTAGTAAGAAAAACACAGAGTTCGTGTGTTGTGAGTTCCTTTACCCAATTCTTGATCGCACAGTCTGCATTCAATGATTCAATGATGCAATGTGTGTATGTGTGTGTGCAGATTCTGGAGCGACGTGCTGAGCAGCGTCGGAATTGGTTCCGGAAACAACGGGAGTTCCTGCTACAGGCTCGACTGTATAGTGTGAAAGACCGGGTGGACATTGGTTCTCTTATTTGAATCGAAACATTTCTGTCAAATATTCGTAAACCTTCATGCTTGAATCTATGGTTTCGTTTTGCAACTTTTCCTGAGATCAGCGCGAGAGTCTTTTCTTCTCTCACTCCAGAAGGACACCGGCACTCTTTGCCGCACCTTGCTTGCAGGACCTGTACCGAGATATGCCCATGAGAGCTTGAAGCAACTTCGAGCAAACTTTGAGCCTTTCACGGAGTCTTTCAACTTGTGGGACAGTTGAAAGGGCTTCACAGCTTCGCATTGCTCAGTGGAATTTGCACCGGTTGTCGAGCGGCAGCGCATTGCTCGGCAGATTCACCGAAGCCGTGAACTTTTGCGACCGTGCAGATTCACCGACTGAAGATGCAAATAATGCCGCGCTGAGCATTGGTGGCCGATAGGATCAATCGAAGCCCTACATCCCTTGTGGCTTACAATTATAATTTTCCACCCTGTTTGCATTTGTTTGTTGTGACGTATTTTGTGTTGTGTCATAAAAACATGGGGCACCAGGAAGGACCAGCTGGTGGAGAGACACTTGCCAAACGTCCTGTTCAGCCATGACCATGCCAAAACCCTGTAGATTGATGATTATATGGGGTTGTATTGTATCCACTGTATTGGGGATTACACGTCATAATCAATGATGGGAAACCCTAGTAACTGACTGAAGAATGTTTTGAACACTGCTAAAAGGTCAGTGCCTCGCTTGGGCCTACGTTTTGGCTCGCTTAGTACGTCGGAGATACATGGCTACAGTATCAATAGAAAGATATATCGATGCATCCGAACGTGTGTATCCAATGGAGTGCAATGTGTTTGATGTCGCGTCTCTTACCTGTAGTAGTTCCCACGGTCCCCTGTCCCCGGTCCCCTGTCCCCGCCCTAAAGATTAACCCTAATGGTGTGTATCCAATGGAGGTAACCCTAAAGGTTGACCTACACATCCCTGAATGTCGTCCTAAGTGATCCAAAAAGTCGTCCCAAGTGATCCTTTGACCCTGCTAAAATGGCAATAACTAGGTTGACTTCTTTTAATTTGTCTTGAAATGCTGAACAGGTGGGTGAACGATTTTCAGCTTGCAAGCCATATGCTACTGCTACTGAGATGTATTTTGGTCGTGATGCACAATTGGGTATGCGCAAGACCTTTGCATACATGCTACAATCACCTGCCATCTTTGTCGCGAAAATCTTGCCTACCTATTCCAAGTGCTCCTAGACAAGACACTTGATTAAAGATACTGCAAACCAGGTCTTTCAAAGGTTGATCCTTCTTCCTGTCTGTGAGTTTGAGCAAAGGCATCCCCTAGTTGGCAGGCAATGTTGGGACTATCACCGCCACTCACCACACGTGGATTCTTCCCGTGTATACTGTTGGGTACCTACGTAGCGCAACGTAATGCAACGTAATGCAACGTATATATATATAATGCAATGCAATGCAATGCAATACAATACAATGCAATGCAATGCAATGCAACGTATATAATGCAATGCAATGCAATGCAATGCAATGCAATGCAATGCAATGCAACGTATATAATGCAATGCAATGCAATGTAATGCAATGTATTAATGTAATGTAATGTTATGTGCGGTCATGTAAGGTAATGTTAGGCAATGTGTTGCACATAATGTAACGTGACGTAACGTACCGTACCGTAATGTAATGTACCAGTAGTACCGCACAAGGCGGTGGCGGAAGTTTCAAAAACAGGAAACCTATGGGAGAGGTTGGTTGTTGTGAATTACGGATGGCAGAGCGAATCCACTGATGGACTGACAGGCGGTTGGAGTTGTGTTTTTTGGAATGGTTGCAATGGTTGCAGTGGTCACCTTCCCACAACTGATGGATGTAGTGTGGTGTAGTGCAGTTGTAATTGCAGTTGTAGCTGTAGTTGTAGTGTAGTGTAGTGTAGTGGAGCTGTAGCTGTAATGTACTGTAGTAAAATTTATTGGCAAGTGCAGTTGCAGTTGTAGTCGTGGCGTGGTGTAATTAGTGTAGTGTAGCGCAGTGTAATGTCGTGTAGTGTAGTGTGGTATAGTGTAGTGTGGCCTAGTGTAAGGCAGTGTAGTTGTAGTTGCAGTGTAGTGCAGTGTAATTAGTGTAGTGTAGTGTAGTGTCGTGTCCTGTAGTGTAGTGCAGTATGTGTAGTGTAGTGTAGTGTAACGTAATGTAGTGGTAGTTGTAGTTGTGGTTGCAGCTGCAGCTGTAATTGCAGTGTAATGCAATGTAATCTGTGTAGTGTAGAGTGTAGTGTTGTGTAATGTAGTGTGGTTGTAGTTGTAGTTGTATTTGTAGTTGTAGTGTGCTGCAGTGTAATTAGTGTAGTGTAGTGTAGTTGTAATTGTAGTTGTAATTGTAGTTGTAGTTGTGGTAGTAGTAGTTATTGTAGTTGTTAGTGTAATTCGTGTAGTGTAGTGTAATTAGATGTAATTAGTGTAGTGTAGTGTTATGTATGTAATGTAATGTAATGTAATGTAATGCAATGCAATGCAATGTAATGTAATGTAATGTAATGTAATGTAATCAATGTATGTATGTACGTACGTACGTACGTATGCATGTATGTAATGTAGTTTAATGTAAAGTAGAATAATGCATGTATGCATGTATGCATGTATGCATGTATGCATGCATGCATGCGTACGTACGTAGGTAGGTAGGTAGGTAGGTAGGTCGGTATGTATGTATGTATGTATTTGTTTTACATGTATACACGCTGTGTTTACATGTATATACATATATATATACATACACGCATTGTAAACACATGTCATCAAAACGCATTCTGCTTTGATCAATCCTTTAGGGAAAACTAATATTTCACTGATAGTCAATGTTTGTCAACCTTTCCGCTCTCAGCCTGCAGCTGTGCCTTTCAAGTAAAGACCCAATGAGAGCATTTGGACATATGGACTGTACAAAAGGGTTTGGTAACACATGTAGAATGAATAGGTAGCAGAGAGTAAACCATGCGACCGCAGTTGATGGCTTGCTTGTCCCAGAATGAATAAGATTCAAACAATAACAATGTCGTGCAGAACGCCATGCAGAATGCCACATTTTACACTATGCATCTACACCTCCAAATCTCTTCATATGACAAAGGCTACACATGCTGTCCAGTACAGCGGTGTGTATGCATGTGGTCATGACCTTCTGTAGTAAATTGTGTTCTGGAGCAAAAAAAAAACAGATCACGTGGACCACAACCTTCCGAAGCAGACCGAAAACTCTTTGTAGCATGGACAATGCCCGCCAATACCTTATCTCTAACACAAACACACATCCAGCGACTTAGCAAGTACTTTCATGGCGCCCAAAACAGAGGTGTTAGACCCCTGCGTTTCACATTTACTTGAAATGCATTTCCTTCATTTCATTTTGTCTTACATGGAGCATGTAGCATCCTATGAAAACTGGTTTTTGCCTCTTGCCTCAGGGCAAAAGAAAGGCTGGGAAGGCTGAGGATGAGCCATCTGCAAAGCGAAGGGAAAAGGAGGACGTAGAGGCGGATGATCCCGTAGATCCCAGGCCCGCAACGAAAGCGACGGTGGGCTTCGGTGTAGACACGACCCTCAATGTGGTGCCCGCGATGCAGGGCAAGGTGGGCCCGGCAGAAGTTAAGAGCGCACAGAGCCCCAATAGATCACCCCAGGTCAATAAAGTCTTAAAACGTCTTAAAACAATTTAAAACATAGCGTTTTAAGATCCGAAAGTCTCCCAGAGTTCTTGGGTGTTTCTGGCGTTCTGAGCTGACGCCTCTTGACACTCTTCAGATTGCCATTGCATGGATTTTCAACGGATTCGAGCCCAGCCCAGGTTCTGATGGCACTAACAGAGGGTGGGATGCAATATTTCATTGCTGGTGCAAGAGCAAGTGTGGGCATGAAGGCCCTACATTTTGTGCCCTTGAATGAACGCCTTTATCAACTGATTATAAAGTTAAGCCTGAAATGCAGGTGGAAGGTGGCTCCCTAAGTCAACCAATAAACTGCCTGCTGTGCAACATGATACCGTTCGAAAAAAATAAGTAATTGTTGATTGGAAAATGTGAAGGACGCGCACCCTCCATGTTACAAAGGCTTCACAAAGGCTTTAAAGGCACATGCCAGAAGAATGTAAGATCTTGTGCAGAATCGAGAAGTGTGAACCGTGACCAGAACACAGAACTCTGAAACTATTTTCAAGAATATATTTCTCTCGGACACGCTGAAAAAATAGGTGCATGTTTTCCAAGGAGTTAAATCCGCCCGCACCGAAGGTGCTGGGGCGTGATCTTTCGGATGGCACTCGTAAAAAGGTTACAGGTTTACCTGGGGGGGGGCCATTTTTCGTCCAAAACCTCCTGTTTTTGATAGGTCGTGACGCTCGCCTTCAAAAAACACTGTAAAAAACAGTACGGAAGACACCTGTTCGTGAACGCGCCCGTCCAAAATCGGCAAGCGAAAAGTGAAAAAACCCCGTGTTTTTCAACTTTTTGACCTCAATTTTTTGGTTTGCAACATCTTTTTTTGCGGTTCCGCAGGTGGCCGGGCCCGGAGGCGGATTTTTGAGTTTTTGGACCCGTTTTCGGACTGATTTTCGTCGTTTTGTGATAGCAGAAACACTGGTTTTTACAGTGTTTTTCTGTTTTCTGCATGCTTGACGGCTAGCTTCAAAACTTCCAAAAACCTCGTAAATTACGCTGTTTTATGTTACGGTGTGAATGAAAACATCGTAAATACCAGTGTTTTTTGACGTTGGTTAAAAAAACACTGTAAATTACAGTGTTTTTGGCCACCTGACCCTCGAAAACCATGGTATTTGCAGTGGTTTCTGCTTCTCACCGCGCAAAAACACTGTAAATAACAGCAATTTCGCCGTTTTTCATGTTTTTCGTTATTTTTTGAACTGTGTTGCTCCGCTATACATGGCTATCAAATTCTTCGCGTTTTTTTTTCCGACAATCGGTACTTTCGGATGATTTTGGTCTCAATGGCCGACATCATTGGCAGTTACGAGCGGCTGCCCAACGATGCGGTGCGGGCGGTTGCCGTCGCGAAGCGACGTGAATATCATCTCTATTGTCGATATCGTAAAAGAACTTTCAGAGAACTGTCAAAGAACGAAACATCAATAGTCTCAATATGATTCAGTGAGTTTCAGTGAGTTTCAATGAAACTTTGAAACTGGGTCCAAGTGTGTCAAATTGTGTACTTTGCCTGACCAGACCTTGACCTCTTGACCTCTTGACCTGGCACCTGGGACCTGGCGAGACCCCCCTGGCCAGCCCCTGGCCAGGCTGGACGATATTTGTATGAGGTCAAGATCATTGAAGCCTTGAATCCTGTCGAGTCAACACAGGGAATTCATGGCCGAACTCCGCAGCCAAGGCGTGGGAAACACTGCATGAAAAAATGACAAAACCATGCAGCAGTTATGGACAAACACGTAAAAATGTTTTCGAAGGATATGGCGTGGACGTGGACCGGCAAATAATTGCATCTTCTTCACGGCAAGATTGCTTCATGACTTCTGGATCATGTGTTGATTGGTTTGGAAAATTGTTGGAAGGTATAACATGGTATAACAAATGTATAACATCATTTAGACTTCTTTTAGACTTCTTTCTGCACCTACTGGCAGCGCTCAGAAGCAATTGGATACTGCAGCTCAATTATTCTGAGAGTGCAGGGGGTGCTGAAGAGCATTGCCAGTTTAGATGCAACATAAGAAGTGAGAGTTTTCCACATTTCGACAGCCTTGTTTCGGACTATATGCGATACTATGTAAGCGCCTGATCTCACATGTTGCCTGTCCCTGAAGGCAGCTGGTGCGACTTGGCTTTTCCACTGCAGGCGCAAGTGAACATGTGCTTGTCAGATCTTGTCAGGAAACTTACCAAATCCAAATCCTGACAGGATCATCCTTGGTTTTGGGAGACTGTGATGACTGCGTATACTTTGATTCAGAAGGGAACTTTGGTTCGGGCAAGATGAAGAAGAGAACCTCCCAGAATTTTACTCGTGATCAAGTTGCTTGGTTGCTTTGCTTTGAAGATGTTTATTCAGAGAAGTGAAACGCCCGCAGGAAAAACAGAACAGGCTTGAATCGGCTTGAAACTAGAATCAATGCTTTCACTTTGCACCTCTGAGGTCATCAGTGTTCTCCTGAACTTGGACGTGAACAGCCACAACGCTTACACCATGAGCTTGTTTAGAGAGGGGGTTCGAATAGCAGAGCCTCAAACGATCCCGGAGCGCCTGCACCTAAGTGAATCTAAGTGAAAAGTCGAGTGAAAAGGATGAATTGGACAAACCGAAGCAGAGTTCTTTGAGTTCTTTGAGTTCTTTATTTGAACTCAAGTCATAGTCTGCTTTCATCCGAGGTTTGCGCGACAAGCCGCTTTTTCCACATATTTGCTTCCGCAATGTCACAGTCCAAGTGAACATGGGTCCAAATCTACTGAAGCCGCTACCATTCAGCTGCAGAATGCTGCAATCAGCAGCTGGATCCGATGTGATTGAATCCAAAGAGTCTGAAGTCGGGGTTTACAATGTGATGATGCCGGTAGCAGTTCCTGATGAGGGAACCTTTGACTGGTTGGATGAATGGCTGGAAGCGCACCCGTCCTGGGTGGAGCTGAGTGACAGAAAACTACAGCAGTGGGCAGTGAGCAGTGGACTTTCAAAGCCAAAGGGCGGGTCTCAGGACAAGCCATCCTTTGCATACGGCATCACGGGTATGGAAGACATGAGTTTGCAGAAGGTCATCAGTGCAATAGCTCCCACAATTCCACGGAATTATGTTGTGATGGAAGTCAAAGCAAATCTGCTGGCTTCTGAACGCGCAGAAGTTTTGAAAAGATTTAGCTTACCCCACTTCAAGAAGACAGCCATGGTGATCATGGGGAAGCCAACTGAAGAATTCAAAGACAAATTGCGAACCAAAATTCTCCGAGAGAAACAGGCAAAGGCAGACAATGAATGGAGGCTCAAGAAAGCGCAAAGAGAGCAGCAGAAACAGATGCTGCGACGACAGAGAGAACTGGCAGAGTTTCGCAGAAAAGCTGAAGAAAATAGAAAGAAGCTGTTGGAAGAAGCCATGAAAAAGGCTCCGGTTCTGGAATAGGGATCCAGACCGCGCCGACTTGCAGCGACTTGTGATTGCTGTTTTGCTGTGTTTTTCGGCAAAGTCTACTCTAGAGTCTAGAGTCGTATCTTCATGGCATTTTTGTGGCATCTTTGTGGGGTCTTGTGGCATCTTGTGGCAGGCCGGTGATGAAAAAAAAGAGGATGGCAAAGAGATGAAGAAAGAAGTGAAGGAGGAGCTTGAAGAGGAGAAGCTTGATGCCAAGGAGGAAAAGGTGGAGGCAAAGGAAGAGGAGGCAGCCAAGCCACATAAGCACTTGAAGGACTTCAACGGCTCCAGACCCCCTCCGGTTGACAGGTAGTAGAATATGTAGAACAGTGGGCAAGACGACAATATGAAAACACTATCAACTTGCACTGTTCAAATTGGACAAAAGCAATATGAAATGGTGACAGGTCAAGGAAGAAGACGACGGTTTGGGTGATGAGCCGCCGAAGGCCATCGCTCGATAGACAAAGCCGGATGTTTTTCTGGTAAGCAAGGTTGTTGGATTGGACACTATCTCAAAATGGGAAGTATCCCAAGGCTCTTGAATTTTGATGCAAAGCAATCGTGGCAGAGTGCTGTTTGCTTTTATGCAGAAAGGTCCTGACTTGGGGGTTTCATACAGGTAGAGCTTTCAGAAGAAGAGTTGCACTTCGACTTCCGGCCAGTTATTGTCGGTGACATTGCGCCCGCCGTACGAGCCCTGAGAAGGAAACGAGGAACACAATAGCATCAGTCTATGGTCATTAGTCATTATATCTAATTATATATAATATATATATATATATTATAATTTTCTCAACCCTCAATCTTGGAGGCACTTTGCGTTGGAAAGTCTGAATCCTTGACTCCCCCGTGTGAAGTGTTTTCTTGCTTTGATAGCCGTGTGTTGGAAATCTAAAAATGCATCTTGACGGATCTCTTTATCCAGCCATTTGCTTGTCTTTCGTTGTCTTTCTGTCTACCTGTTTTGCTTGCAGGTCTCTTTGTCTAAGTATTGGTATGAGTCCAGCAACACAGAGAATATAGGGTTTGACAAAAAAATAAAAAACAAAAAAATGCAAAACCAGAGCGAGCAAAAAAAACAAACTAGAAAACAAACAAAGAGAAAACAACACGCCAACAAGATAAACAAGAAAAAACATGAAAAAAACAACAAAAACAAAAAAAACAAAAAAAATACAAAAACTGCGGAAAATGCAGGTTTTGATTGTTTTCCCCAACAGCAGAAGCTTTGGGGTCTTCAGCCATAGTAAAGGTTTCGGAGCAGACCGGAGCAGCTCCAAAACCCATTCCCCCAAGGTTCCGAAGGAAAGGTTCCCAAGTAAAGGTCCGGAGCAGCTCCAAAACCCATTCCCCCAAGGTTCCCAAGTAAAGGTTCCCAAGTAAAGGTTCCCAAGTAAAGGTTCCCAAGTAAAGGTTCCCAAGTAAAGAATCCCAAGTAAAGGTTCCCAAGTAAAGGTTCCCAAGTAAAGGTTCCCAAGTAAAGGTTCCCAAGGTCCAAGGTTCCCAAGGTTCCCTCAAGGTTCCCAAGGTTTCCAAGGTTGCCAAGGTTCCCAAGGTTCCCAAGGTTTCCCAAGGTTCCCCAAGGGTTCCAAGGTTCCCAAGGTTCTCAAGGTTCCCAAGGTTCTCAAGGTTCCCAAGGTTCCCAAGGTTCCCAAGGTTCCCAAGGTTCCCAAGGTTCCCAAGGTTCCCAAGGTTCCCAAGGTTCCCTCAAGGTTCCTAAGGTTACGTCAAGGTTCCCAAGGTTATGTCAAGGTTCCCAAGGTTAGATTGTAAAGGTTCCCCAAGGTTCCCAAGGTTCCCCAAGGTTCCAAGGTTCCCAAGGTTTCCCAAGGTTCCCAAGGTTCCCAAGGTTCCCAAGGTTCCCTCAAGGTTCCCAAGGTTCCTAAGGTTACGTCAAGGTTCCCAAGGTTATGTCAAGGTTCCCAAGGTTAGATTGTAAAGGTTCCCTCAAGGTTTCCAAGGTTCCCAAGTAAACGTTCTCAAGGTTCCGAAGGTTGCATTGTCAAGGTTACCTCAAGGTTGCCTCAAGGTTCCCAAGGTTTCCAAGTAAAGGTTTTCAAGGTTCCAAGGTTGCATTGTAAAGGTTCTCAAGGTTCCCAAGGTTACATTGTCACGGTTTCCTCAAGCTTTCCAAGGTTCCCAAGTAAATGTCTCAAAGGTTGCCAAGTAAAGGTTGCCAAGTCAAGGTTCCCAAGGTTCCCAAGGTTGCCAAGGTACCCAAGGTTCCCAAGGTTCCCTCAAGGTTCCCTCAAGGTTCCCAAGGTTCCCTGAAGGTTCCCAAAGTTTCCTCAAGGTTCCCAAGGTTTGATTGTAATACAGAAGGTTTTACACAGAAAAGCCTTTTCTAAAGAAGCCTTACCACATGAAGCCTTTACACAGAGCAGCTTTACACGCAGACGCTTTTTCACAAAGAAGCTTTTACACACAGGAACTTTAACGCCCAGATGCCCAAGCCTTTACACACAGGAGCTTTTGCGCACACACGCCTTACAAAAAGAAGCTTTTAGACACAGAAACTTTTACAGCCTTTTCACAAGAAAGCTTGTACACAGAAGCTTTGCACAGAGATGCCTTTACAGACAGAAGCTCTTACACACAGAAGCTTTTACTCAGAGAAGCCTTTACAAACAGAGCAGCTTTTACACACAGAAGCTTTTCCGCAGAGAAGATTTTGCACAGAGAAGCTTTCTCACAGACAAGTGTTTGCGGGAAGGAACTTTGCGCACAAACGGTTTTTACATACAGCAGCTTTCACACAGAGAAGCCATTGCGCGGACCCAGCTTTTTTACACACCGAAGCTTTGACGCAGAGAGGCCTTTACACAGAGAAGCTTGTACACACAGAAGCTTTTACACACAGATGCCTGTACACAGAGCAGCTTTGACACACAGACGCTTTACACAGAGAAGCCGTTACGCAGAGTAACTTTTACACAGAGCGGCTTTTGCGCACAGACGCCTTTACACAAAGAAGCCTTTCTACACAAACGCTTTTACACATAGAGGCCTTTACGCACAGAAGCTTTTTATGCACAGAAGTTTTTACAGAAGCTTTACACAGAGAAGCTTTTACACAGAGAAGCCTCTACACACAACATCTTTTAAAAAAATTATACACAGAAGCATTTACACACACACACAAAAGCTTTACACACACGCCTTTACGCACAGAGCTTTTACACACAGACGCTTTTACGCGTAGAAGCTTGTTCACAGAGCAGGGTTTACACAGAGCAGCTTTTACACACCAAAGCTTTTACACAGAGAGAGGCCTTTGCACAGAGCAGCTTTTACAATCTTATACGCGCAGAGGCACAGAAACTTTAAACACGCAAATGCCCAAGCTTTTACGCAGACAGGTCTTTACACACAGAGGCATTTACACAAAAGTTCTTCACACAGATGCGGCAGATGCTTCTACACACAGAAGCTTTTGAACACAGATGCCTTTACACACACAAGCATTTACCCAGAGATGCTTTGACACATACACGCCTATGCACACAGAAGCTTTTAGACACATATTGTTTTCAGAGAATCACAGAAGCTTTGACACTGAGAAGCCTTTGCACAGAGAATCTTTTACACACAGAAGGTTTTACACACACAAGCTTTTCCACAGAAGCTTTTACACAGAGAAGCTTTTACGCACAGGAGCCTTTAGACACAGACGCCTTCACAGAAGCTTTTGCACAGAGAAGCCTTTACACACAGACGCTTTCCCACAGAAAAACCGATTCCACAGAGCAGCTTTTACACGCTTCAATAAATCGCAATTTAACTTAAGTTTTTGACGTTCGGCCATCATATCGTGCGAAAGGGTTGCATCCGGCGTTGGAAAATCGCAATTTTTGACCTTGGACAATCATTTTGCGTGAAAGGGTTGCGCCTGACCTTGTAAAATCGCAATTTTACACAAGTTTTATTTCGCGCGAAACAGTTGTGCCTGACGTTTCAAAATGGATAAAGTCGCAACTTTACACCAATTCTTGAACGTTTGCATCTGGCATTAAAAAATCACAGTTTTCCCACAGTTATCGCCATTTGACTTTCGTGCCACGCTTGCATCTGGACTTTCAATCACAATATTACACCAGTTTTTGACGGTTGACCCTCATTTCGTGGGAAGGGGCTGCGACGGGCCTCACCAAATTTGCATTTTTGCCACATGTTTGGATGTCCGACCGGCGCGATCTCTGCAGAGGGTTGCCCGTGCCCAAAAGAAATCCACATTCCACCACATGTTTGGGCCTCTGAAACGCAGGATCTCCGCAGACGGTTGCTGCGGGCAAAGAAGTTTCGCCTTTCCCCACACCACATGTTTGCCCATCCGACATGCGCGATCTCCACAGAGGGTTGCCCAAGGACAAACAAGACCCGCATTTTGCCACACGTTTGTGTGTCCAACACGCCGCAGAGGGTAACGGTTCGTAAGCCACCGCCTGGCTGTCCCTGCCGCCAGAGAGAAATTGAAGAACTGGAGAAGTCTGATTTTGCAGGAGGTCAGATACAGTTTGATCACCTGGAAGTTAGCTGAACGCCTGTAGCAAATCCTGTGCAACAATTTCTGTGCAAATGACCTTGCAGGAGTCTTGTAGGAGTTCAAGTAGAAGTGGATCACCTGCAAGTCAACTCCTGTGTAAATGACATTTTTGCAGTTTTGTAGGAGTTCCCTAGAAGTTGATCACCTGTAGCTGATGTTTTGTGATGTTGTCTATTTTGTACATGATGAGGATGATGTTGTAAGTGATGTAAGGTAGATCGATTAGAAGATGTAGGTGATGTAGAGGATGTAGTGATATAGATGATGATGTAGGTCATGTATGCGTTGTAGATGATGTATGTCATGTAGATGAGGTTAATGGGAAAAGTTTGTGTAGGTGATGTAGATGGTGTAGGTGAGATAAGTGATGATGATGATGGTGATGATGATGATGATGGTGATGATGATGATGATGATGATGATGTAGAGAAGATGGTGCAGAAGATGTAGGTGATGTGGGTGATGTAGCGGATGTAGTGATGTAGATGATGGTGTAGGTAATGTGTGTGCTGTAGAAAAGACATGTCATATAGATGATGTTGATGGAAAAATGTGTAGGGGGTGTGGGTAATGTAGGTGAGGCAGATGTAGGTGGTGATGATGACGATGATGACGATGATGATGATGATGGTGTAGATGTAGATGTAGATGTAGAGAAAATGGTGTAGAAGATGGTATAGAAGATGTAGATGATGTAAAGGACATAAGAGATGTGGATGATGTATGTTAGGTAGATGAAGTGAAGAGTGAGGTGGACAGCAGTTCTTTGAGAAAAACCCTTCTCACAAGCTTCGGGAATATTGGCCCTTCAGCTTCTACAGTATTGCAAACGCTTTCGGAAAAACGGTTTTTCATAAAGTGTTTGTGCTGTGATTGCGCCTTGCACGCGCGACCTCTAGAGTAAGAACGGCGGGACAATAAACATACTTCACTCATTGCTTGTTTGGCAACTTTTTTTGTTTCTGGCTGTTGGGGGATACTCTTTGGGCTTAGTTTTTTTTTCCCCCTTGGTTTTTCTGGTGACTCTTCCTGTCGAGTTTTTTTTTGGTGATTCTGTTTGTGATTGTGTTTTTGTGTGTTTTTTTCATTTTTTGCTAAAATCAGCTTTCTCTGTTCTACACGGGGTCATAAAATTATTGTCTGCCTGTCTAGATATCTAGTCGTCCATCCATCGAAGGCCAGAAAGCCTCAAGTCCCTAGATTGTACACATCAACATGGCTGCAACATGAGTGCTTTTCTTCTTGGTGTGTGTTTGTTTGTATTTGCCTTCATTTTCTTGTTTAGTTCCAAAAGATTGAGAAGGGGGTTGTATGTCATAGACGATGGAGTCTTTAGCGCAAAATGGCATGACCAGAGGCGCGCCTAACCCGCGAGGCACTTTCGAAGAGTTTGTCAAGCTTCACAATTCCGGAGGAATCTGAAGGATTCGACTCGGTGTCTTGAACGCTTTGTGCACACAAGAGGAGACATTGAACGAATGCATTGTGCAATGAAGGTATCTGTCGGTAGGATAGTCGAAGAACGGCCCAAGAACAGTCCAAGGTGGAGTTTGTTTGGGAAGGCGAGGTTGAGTGCAAAGAGTACTTGAGAAGATGGGTCTTGGATGCAAAGCAATCAACACGGATGGAAGACTTGCAGCCTTCAAAGAGCTTCACGGACCGAGCCAGCTGTCTCACAACAAATTTGCCATAGCCAGTATTAGATAGTGAGAGAGAATCAGGCTCATGCTGTCCAAACGAGTCCAAACTTTAAAAGATTTCCTGGCATGACAATTCTGTGCAGGACAAAATGGGTTCTTGGCAGAAGCAATTCCAGGAATGGCAGGCGCTTGTAGCACAATGTTTTTCCCCACAACTTTGTGTGGGGTTCTTGTTTTTGATTCTGTATCCCGGGTGCTCCGCCTCCCGCTCCGCCTCCCGCCTCCCGCCTCCCGCCTCCCGCCTCCTCCTCCCCACACACACCACCAACAATCTTTGTCAAACTATCTTTGTCAACCATCTTTGTCACACCATCTGTGTCAACAACCATCTTTGTCAACCATCTTTGTCAAACCATATGTGTCAACCATTTTTGTCAACCACCATCTTTCACATACATATTTCAACCATCTTTGTCAACCACCATCTTTCACATACATATTTGTCAACCATCTTTGCACTTACATCTTTGCCAAACCATCTGTGTCAACCATCTTTGTCAAACACCATCTTTCACATACATATTTGTCAAACCATCTTTGTCAACCGCAATCTTTCACATACATATTTGTCAACCATCTTTGTCAACCATCTCACCACCAATCTTTGTCACACCATCTGTGTCAACCATCATCTTTCACATACATCTTTGCCAAACCATCTGTGTCAACCATTTTTGTCAACCACCATCTTTCACATACATATTCGTCAAACCATCTGTGGCGGCGCTTTGCGTGGCAGGCGTGGCACTCGGTCACATGAACCTTCGTTTTGCGTGGCAGGCATGGCACATATGGCACTGGGTGGCGCGCTTGGACCGGATTAGTCGCGGGTGACGCCGCGGCACTTTGCCTGGCAGGCGTGGCGCTCGGAGACATTCACCTTCGTTTTGCGTGGCAGGCGTGGCACTTATGGCACTGGGTGGCACGCTTGGACCGGATTAGTCGCGGGTGACACCCCGGCACTTTGAATGGCAGGAGTGGCACTCGGAGACATTCACCAATAGTTCGCCAAAAGTTTTGCGTGGCAGGCGTGGCGCTCGGTCACGTCACTGGGTGGCGCGCTTGGACCGGATTAGTCGCGGATGACGCCGCGGCACTTTGCGTGGCAGGCGTGGCACTCGGAGACATTCACTTTCGTTTTGCGTGGCAAGCGTGGCACTTATGGCACTGGGTGGCGCGCTTGTACCGGATTAGTCGCGGATGACACTCGGTCATATGAACCTTTGTTTAGCGTGGCAGGCATGGCGCTCGGAGACATTTACCTTCGTTTTGCGTGGCAGGCGTGGCACTTATGGCACTGGGTGGCGCGCTTGGACCGGATTAGTCGCAGATGACGCCGCGGCACTTTAAGTGGCAGGCGTGGCGCTCGGAAACATTCACCTTCGTTTTGTGTGGCAGGCGTGGCGCTCGGTCACATGAACCTTCGTTTTGCGTTGCAGGCGTGGACTTATGGCTTAGTCAACTTTGTTTTGCGTGGCAGGCGTGGCACGTATGGCACTGGGTGGCGCGCTTGGACCGGATTATAGTCGGGGACGTCTTGTAAGCAGAGACTGATCTGCTTACTGCATCTGCCAGAGGCCAAAATCAGGCAAATAAGAAATGACCTAAGTAAGGCCTAAGTACAAACACCTGTAGTAAGCAGATATATGAACATATACACCAAAGACAATTTCAGAATCTGCTTACTACAGCTCCGTTGTCCTGAAGTGTTTGTACAGTAGACTTAGTGTCAAGACAGGTACAGTAGACTTAGTGTCAAGATCATGCGGGGGAAAAAAAGTTGCCTTGTACCGAGCCTCTTCCCCACGAAAAGTAGTAGGGACAACGCAGTAAGCAGGAACCCTCCCTATAATTTGACCAGGGCACTAAGCAGCTCGGGGCTCCGAACGGGACCTTATATGAATCCCTAAAATACCCTCCTGCTTACTACTTTGCTTTGGCTGGTTCCTGCTAACTGGGTGTCCGTGACTATAGTCGCGGGTGACGCCGCGGCACTTTGCGTGGCAGGCGTGGCACATATGGCACTGGGTGGCGCGCTTGGACAGGATTAGCCGCGGATGACGTCGCGGCACTTTGCGTGGCAGGCGTGGCGCTCGGAGACATTCACTGTCGTTTTGCGTGGCAGGCGTGGCACTCGGTCACATGAACCTTCGTTTTGTGTGGCAGGCGTGGCACTTATGGCACTGGGTGGGCGTGGCACTTGGAGACATTCACCTTCAGGCGTGGCACTCGGAGACATTCACCTTCGTTTTGCGTGGCAGGCGTGGCACTTTTGGCATTGGGTGGCGCGCTTGGACCGGATTAGTCGCCGGTGACGCCGCGGCACTTTGCGTTGCAGGCGTGGCAATAGATGTATTAGTTGATGTTTTTCTCTGACGGTGCGGGGCTTGCAGTCCTTTCATGTTTGGTGGCGTTTTACGTTTTGTAACTACAGCAATAAATGTTTCCTTTTGTGGAGTTAGTGACATGCTTTGATGTTTCCACGCAGCATCATGAGGGTCAGCAATGCGCCGCAGGAGATCCTGGCACACTTCGTTCCGCCAATTGGCGCTCCGCAGTAACGCCGTATGTCAAGCAGATGACATTGGAGCGCTGGCGCAAGAGAGAACGTCCGCACTGCTGCCGCCCTCACAAACGCACACATCACTTTCACACACACCATCTTTCCCACACATACACACATACATGATCTTTCTTCGCCACACACCATCTTTCACATACCACTTTATCACACGCACAACTGTTTTAACTTTTCGATCCTTCTCCACCTCCTTTGTCTTTCCTTCCTTCCCCGTCCCTGCTACAACATTTGGTGCTCATTATTGGAAGAAGTTGACTTGTGGGGTTATCCGGTCCTTAAATTGTTTTTTACTACGTATTACCGGGTGTACATACCTTTACCCCTACTTGCGTGTGCGTGGCTCGAGAAATAAGTGCTTAACAATGTGTACTTTGTGGGCTGTGTTGCCTGTTGCCTGTAAAACAGGTTATCAGCCGTAAGCTTTCTTTTCTTTCTTTGTAGGAATGTCTGCCCCCTCGGGTTCTTCCACCGAGGGCAACGGGACGTCTAGAACCTCTGATCAAGCCATGGCAATCCCGGTGACATTACCTATCGCTGAGTCTCCCTTTTCGATCGACATCAGCACGGCACCCGGATCCGACAAATCCAGAAGCTTGAGAGAACGTCGCCGCTTGTCACCATTGGGGAACGCCTTCTCATGCTGGTTTTACTCACCGTGGGTATGTTCCTCATGTCCCTCGGGAGGGTGGGCCACCGGCTCGCCAAATGAACCACATGAATGTTCACAACTCATAACATATGTACCGCACAAGGCGGTGGCGGAAGTTTCAGAATAGGAAACCTATAGGAGACGTTGGTTGTTGTGAATCACGGATGGTAGAGCGAATCCACTGATTGACCGAAAAGTGGTTGGAGTTGTGTTTGCTGGAGTGGTTGCAATGGTTGCAGTGGTCACCTCACCCACAACTGCTGGATGTAGTGTGATGTACTGCAACTGTAGTTGTAGTTGTAGCGTAGTGGAGTTGTAGTTGTGGTGTAATGTAATTAGTGTAGTGTAGTTGCAGTCATATGGTTGTAGCTGTAGTTGTTTTGTAGTTGTAGTTGTAGGTGTTGTAGTTGTAGTTGTTGTAGTTGTTGTGTAGTGTAGTGTAGTGTAGTTGTAGTAGTAGTAGTAGTTGTTGTTGTTGTTGTAGTTGTTGTAGTTATAGTTGTAGTTGTAGTTGTTGCTGTAGTTGTAGTTGTAGTTGTAGTTGTAGTTGTAGTTGTAGTTGTTGTTGCTGTTGTAGGTGTTTGTAGTTTGCAGTTGTAAGTTGTGAGTAGTAAGTAGTGTAGTTTGTTGTTGTTGTTGTTCTTGTTCTTGTTGTTGTTGTTGTTGTTGTTGTTGCTGTTGCTGTTGTCGTCGAAGTTAGGGTAGTTAAGTTAGTGAAGTTAGTTAAGTTAGTCAAGTTAGTTAAGTTAATCAGTGTCTACTTTTTCGACATCTTCACGTCAAAAAAGGCTCAAAACCCTCAGTTTTTTACACTTTTGACTTCGAAATGTGCTTCGCGCCACAACGGCGTGCACTTTTTCGACACTTTTTCGACATCTGAACCTCCAAAAGTGGTCCGAGACCGTCAGTGTTTTTAACATTTTGACTTGGAAATGTGCTTCGCGCCACAACGGCGTGCACTTTTTCGACATCTCAACTTCCAAAAGTCGTCCGAGAATGGTGTGTTTTGTACATTTTGACTTCGAAATGTGCTTCGCGCCACAACGGCGTGCACTTTTTCGACATCTCAACTTCCAAAAGTGGTCCGAGAATGGTGTGCTTTGTACATTTTGACTTGGAAATGTGCTTCGCGCCACAACGGCGTGCACTTTTTCGACATCTCAACTTCCAAAAGTGGTCCGAGACCGCCAGTTTTTAGCACTTTTGACTTCGAAATGTGCTTCGCGCCACAACGGCGTGCAATTTTTCATCTCTCATCTGGCCAGCTGGCTCCGCACCCGCCGCTTTAGCGAGCCTACTTTTCGACCCACCGGAGCCACAAATCATTGGAAAAACACAGTGTTTCGCGACTTTCCTACCTTTTCGCGCATCTGCATCTTCTTTCTTCTGATCTTGTCTCTTCTGACTCTTCTCGCCTCTGCTTTCAACTGTCCATATTGTCGGAAGTTTGACTTCTAAACTTCCTTCGATCAACAGAATGCACATGTTGACAATCCTCAAGTCAATTTTGTCGAGCAGAGTGTTCACTTGCATACACATGACCCTGCCATGACAAGCCTTGCGGAAACAACGGCCGCGCTCCGACATCGCGAGGTCTTAGCTAAGGCCGAAGCCCATGCTGAAGCTGTCCACGTGGCAAGGACTGAGGAACTTGTGGAAGCATTGCGGGTCCGTGAGGGCGTTGAAAGTCAGAGGGCCCAAGATGCAATGATGTCCAAAGAACACGAAATGAATTGAATGGGAATCCAGTACAAAGAGAATTTGAAGCATGAAGTGCATGAGCACATTAGGTTCCAACAGGCTCAAACGTGTCATTGATGCAAATCACCGACAGTCATTTTCCAGTAAACGCCAGGAGATCCTTGAACTCAAGAGGCAAGCTGAGGAGGAAAGAC